TAACTACGATTCAAGGAAGATACGTGTGGAGGCCAGAATTTGTACCCTGTGTAATTATGTCCAACTGCATCGTAATAATATCGTGAAACATCTACATCAACAGCATAATATTAAACAAATTCTACCCAAACATATTCAGACAATTGTGTTGTTGAAAGAGGCTGGAGGTTTGGATTCATCGGCCGCGGCCATTGCGGAATTGAGAAATCAAACGAAAAGGTCGGCGACGACGGCGGCATCGGTATCTCATAGTTCAAATGTTTCATTTACCATTGACGATGATGATGAGGATGGTGATGATAATACCCTGCTATTTAGTGAAGATGCCCTGCCACCTATTAGCACCCGGCAACAACAACAGGTTGTGGAACCACCACAACAACAAAATCATTATTATAATTATATACCACCCTATATGATGAATCAATTGCAGCAAAGCCAACAACAACAACAAAATTTCACCTGGGAGGATAATGATCCCACTGATGATCTGTCATTTATGATATGTGGCATGTTGGATGTACAAATGAACAACAATAACAACAAAAAGAAGTAAGGAGGAGAAAAATTTGGAGAACGAAAAAACGGGGAAACGAGGTCTATCAATAGGGTCAGTGAGCAAGCGAAAGTCAGCTGTTTTTCTCTCAAGTCTAAATGTCAAAAATGTGGACCTTGTCAAGATCTATTAATAAGGTCAGCCATCAAAGCAAAAGTCAGCCCATTTTTCTCTCAAGTTTAAATGTCAAAAAATTGGCCTTTGTTTACGTTCTCATAATGGCAATCAAAATTCAGAAAAGATGGATTTTGACAGCAAACTTGAGAGCCCAGTTGATATCCAGCTTATTTATAGGCCTTGGACACAAATCACAAAAAATGAATTTTGACAGCAAATTTGAGAGAAACAGCTGATATGGCATAACAGCTGTTTCTCTCAAATTTGGTCTCTCTCTGGATAACATATGATCCTCCTTTACACTCCCTTCCATCACTCATCAGTCTCTCTTTCTCTCACTCTCCATATGTAATTTGAATTCAAAACAAAAAGGGAAAAAGAAAATCTAATCTTAGTTTTTACAAAAGGAAATACAACAAAAACTACAACAATAATAATTAATAATATTTAGTATATTAGTAATATAAAAAAAGAATCGCAACACTAAATATCCTCTTCTCATGAGTAGTAGAACAAGAAGCTACAGAGAGTATCCAATTGAAGAAGCAAGCAGTTTGTTAATAATCGAAAAAGATGAATTTTTGTATTGGTTTTTTTTAAATTAAAATAAAAATATATATTTCTTAAAACACATAGATTATATAGAAATGTAAAAGTGGAAGAGTTATATAGGCGCTTAAAAGAAAAAAATTATATTTTAAGTTTTTTTTTTAATTTAATTTTTTTTGTAATTAATAATAAAAAAAGTGGAAAAACATTAAATAATCAAAAAAATTAAAATGTTGTAGTAGCTTTAAATAAGAGGTCCTCAAAAAAATTAAGACTTCGGAGAGTTAATTGGGAAACTGCCATATGAAATAAATTAAAATAGAGAACCCAGAGAACGAGCTTTTTAACGGATCGAGTAATTGGTAATTTATATCGGATCGAGTAATTTGTACTCTCTAATTCGTTTTCGTTTTTTTACGCAAATGTGGGACATATCACCGCACTCTATAATACGAAAACGTATGTCAAACACGTTCGTTAAGCGCCAATATCTTGCGTTAACGCAAAGGAAGCCGAACAACAATGAAATGTTTTATTTATACCTAAATTGTTAATATTTTTAGGGGAAAAGCCAAAAAAAGTTACAGACTAAGCAAACGTCAGTTCCAAAGTTTAGTAGATTTTATGGTGCAACACCACAGCGATTTGGCAAAGGGGGGACGGTGAAACAATTCGCTCAATCGTCTGAAGTATCTGAGAAATTTTCGTTTTCGGACCATAGGATGATATCTTTTTTTCAGATTCCTAGCTCCAGAGTGTAAAACAGAATCCTTATAGGAATCCTCGGAAGACAAACTGGGACAAATTTAAAGACAAAACAGCAGATTCAATCCTGTGAAGTAGCTGTGAACAATGTCACGGCTACTCTTCTGAAAAGCTATGAGGCTTCTTGTCCCCTAACATACCCTGGAAAGAGATCTCAGCCGGTCACAAAACTTGGCATCCTTGAGAAATCTTATAATTAAGCTAGAAGGACGAAACTTAGTACAGCTTGGAACGTTTATAGAAAACAATTCAATAGGTAACAAATTGAAATAAACGTGAGTCTTGGCTTTGCCATAACGAGTCAAACGAAGAAGTAAACGAAGCGGCCAGATTTCGCAGAGTAATATCTAAAATACAAAATCTATTGGTAGTATTAAGCGACGGAACAAACTCCGGCAGAGAAACTCTTGATCTTCTATCATCAACCCAATTCCCTGGTTGTAAAGGACCATTATGACGATGTGCGGTGTGTGCATTGGATTATGGCTCGAACCAGAGACCATTAGAAGTTGATAGAAATCACTATAAGCTAGGCAAAAACTGGTATGGGCAATAGCATTTGACCATATAAACCCCAGGCCCATATGGCATAATACCCGCCATGCTGCAACACGCTGATGAACGGGTATTTGTCATTATGCATGACATTTTAGGGCTTGTCTACTCTTATCGTACATACCAATTCTGTAGAAAGAGGTAACAGTGACCTTCATCCCGAAGGCCGGGAAGCCGAGTTATACGCTACCTTAAGGACTATAGATCGATCACAGCCTCTTTTCCTTTCTACTTAAGACTTTAGAAACCTTGCGAGACTCTGAAATTAGGAATACTATCGATCCCAATGAATAAGCAAATCCCAAAATCGGACAAGAACCTTGTTTGAGGTTATGTCAAGACATGGACCACAAAATGCAAACTTACTGCCAGCTCGTTGGGAAAATAAGGCAAGGACACGTGCGAATGATGTTGCGGAACTATGTCCAAACATGGCCGATATTGAAAAATTCCTGCGAAGAAGTTTTTTTTATTCTCTTACTGAACGAATTAAGTTGATACGACCTATATCGAAAATTGTTCCCAACAGTTATTCTGAAAAAAAAAACGAAATGCCAAACTACAACGGACGCTATATCGGTGGTGATCCTTCATTCGGAACTATGCCCAAACATGGAGCTATAATGAAAAAGCCTGCGGAAAACTTTTATCCCCTTTTTAAAAGAAATAGGTTAAAATAAATCAGACCCGAACCAAAAATTAATTTAAATTGGAGCGGGACCTCCACATATGGGCTAGTCAATATATGGACCTACATTGAAAATTGTTCTTTAAAAGTTTTTTTAATCCGTAATAGCCCTTCGGTTAAAAAAACATAGCCTAAATCGGTCGTGACCCTTCATTCGGAACTATGTTCATGCATGGACCAATGTTAAAAAATTCCTGCGAGCAGTTTTTTGTTCTCTTTTTTTGCACAGAGAATCCGTAATGCCAACCTCCAGGTATCGGACCTATGTTGAAACATCTATATAGATGTCATAGATTATCACAATGTTACAAACACCACTAAAAAGCGAAAAAAATGTGTCGGAACCCTTGCATGGGAGCTTTGTCCAAACATGGAGCGACATTGAGAATTTTTCTGTGAGATTTTTCTAACCTCTGATTAATCGAATTGACACATTATATGTATTTCTGTTGGAAAATGAGGCTAAATCGATGTGAACCTTATATAAGGGCTATGTTCGAACATGGGCCTACAGTGAAAATTTCTGTGGGGAGATTTTTTTATTCTCTAATAAACCAAAAATGCTAAATAACAGAAACTTCGTTCTGAAAAGTGTGGCTTTAAACCCTCAAATTAACGAAAATAGGACGGGAACTATCGGGTAGCCTATGTCCGAATATGAAACTATATTGAACATTTTTCTTCCAATTGGGATTTTTTTACCTTTGAGAAATCGAAATGCTTAATTAATTAATTTTCGGTTGGAAAATCAGGACAAATCGGAAGGTACCTCTACATGAGATCGATGTCCGAACATGATTTTTCATTGACAATTTTCTGCGATGAGGTATTTTTATTGTCTAACTATGTAAAGGAAATGTCTAATGATAACCAATTTGCTCTAAGCGTCTAAAACCTTTAAAATACCTAAATAAGGCGGAACTTTTATATGCGGGACTATTTGGAAATATGGTCCAATATAAAAAATGCCTCCTTTTTAGCTTTGAGAAATCAAAATACCAAATTATAAGCACTTTGAGGATAAATCGGAAGATACTCTTATATGAGGTCTAGGTCCGAACATGGACCCACATTAAAAATTGTCGGCGAGGAGGTTTTTTTTATCGTCTTAGTAAATAAACGAAATGCCAAATGAGAGCCTCTTATAGGTAAAAATCGATTAAAACCTTCAAAATGCCTAAATAGAGCTCCATTTTTATACGCGGAACTATGTGCAAATATGGACCTACATTAAAAAATGTTTACCGTTGCTGATTATGAAAATAAAAATCGATTAAAACCTTCAAAATGCCAAAATATATCGGGATTTTTATATGCGGAACTATGTGCAAATATAGACCTATATGGAAAAATGTTTGCCGTTGCCGATTATGAAAACAAAATGAAACGACCTGCATTATTTTTCTTCCCGAAGACTTTTTTATCCTTTAAGAAATCGATATTTTCACTTAAAGAAACATAGGCTGCTTGGGACCTTCAAATTACCTAATATGGCAGGAGATCCTTAAATATGGGCTATGTCAAGAATGGTCCTCAATCGATGTCTAAGCAAAGTTGCGGAACTGTTGGAGGCAATATTCACAGGACTGTAATTTCTCATTACTCTACCTCTCTCACTCTCTTTCTCTCTCTTGATATGATATTGACTAATTTTCCAATAGGAAATTGCAAATGCAAAATGCATCTAATAAGAATTTCAATAAGAATTCCCAAATCAAATAAAAAAATATGTAAATAAAAATACAAAAAAAAAATCCACAACACACTTACCCTCCATTTGTATACCGAATGTCACATCGTCCTGTTTGCATTGACGAAAATTACGATGAATATCTTTCAGCGGTATACTATAGTCCACAATGTGGCAGGGTGTAAATTGCGTCTCGGCAACCTCCGATTGGATGCGTGACATTTTCGACATATTCAAATCCAATAGAACACAAACACCCTCTTCACTGCCCACAGCCAGGCAACCATCGAAATTTTGCAGCAATGTTCTCTTACATGTCGCGGCATTTAGGAAACGGGCACAGGTGATGTGTAGACTCAGATCATAGGTGCACAGGACACAACTTAGCTCTACCGAATATAAGACCACATAACTACCACCACCCCCAGGGCCATGAAAGTTTTCCAAAATCACAGCCACCATCATGACTTCCGGATTATTGGGGCAAATTTCTTCAACACATTTGATGCAACAATTGTCATAGCCACGCGACTCACAAAATTCATAACTGCTAATGGTTTGACCATTGCGCAGTGAGACAATTTGTAGGATGGAATTTTTGGCCAGCCATGACCATTCACCGTGGCGTATAATGCCGCCGAGTTTTTTGTCTACAAAAAGAAAAATGTAAATAATCAAAAAACATAAATCACGAAATTCCATGCGCACACACACACATACCAATAAATTGATCATCTTCGCCTGGGGATTTCGGTGAGGAGTTTAATGCTGCCTGGCCCGCCGATACAGAACCTGTGGGACTCAATGAGGACTGCAACTGCAAGTCTGCAAATTTAACTGTTTGCCGGCCATCCACTTCAAGGTCATACCACTCCATTTTCCACGCTGTTATTCGTTTCTGTTATGGCGGCAATTTGTGGCACATAAACGTTGGGTTATTATTTAACTAAATCCACACGATTTTTTATTTATTATTGTTTAAAAAAAATGTTTCCGAGATATCCCCAAAATAGACCCAACAAATGCTTTCGTTCTTCACGTTGTTGTTTTCGCCGTTTTCGCGGTGTTCCAACACAAAGGGATATATAAATCGACTTTCCAACTGTAGGGATATATAGATCGACTTTTGAACATTCCAAGGTCTATTTATAAGGTTAACAGCAAAGAAGATCAGCTGTTACTATGAATTTATTATTAAAATTAGTTAACGTGATGGTACTACAAGAATATGCATGCTTAGTTTCCAATATTTTTTTTTTGTAAAAAAGAATATAAAATGTGAAAAATATATAGCATTCCTATTGTGTGTTTATTTGTTACGGTCTTCTTCTTACCTACATGGTAATGTAATGCAAACAGGAATGACAACATATAACCTTATAATATGTTTAGATTTACGACATGCATATGCTTTCAAATGTCAATTCCATAGCAAAATGCCCAATTATAACCGCTTTGGTTGGAAAATGAGACTAAATAAGAAGGGATCCTTTATATGAGAGCTATATCCAAACATGGACATATATAAAAATAGAATATAAAGCAAATTAAAATGTTAAAACTATGTGTCATTCCTTAAGAGCTTTTATAGTGATCATGTGAATTATCTCGATTTAATTTCTAAATTCTTTCGAATTTACCAAAGGACTAATAACAAGTTCACCTCTAATGTATCAACACTTCAAGATAAAGCTTTATTGGTGGTGACGCTATTATTACACCCTAGTCGGTTAAAAAGTTCAAGACCTATTAATAAGTTCATCCAGAATGCGAAAGACAGCAGTTTCTCATGTCTAATGTCAACAATTTTGACATTATTTACGTTTTCATAATTGCAGAAACAGCTAAATACGATCAACCAGGAAGTCCGTTTTTGATTTTGTTTACGTTTTCAGAATGAAAGTCAATTCACAATAGTAAATTTTGACAGCACACTTGGGGAGCTTCTGATTTTTCTAGATTACCATATTACCGAAAAGATCAAAAATATGATTTGTTTACTTTTTAAAAGTCAAAATCCGCTAAAATTCAAAACCGTTGTTTAGCAGAAAATGGTTGAAGCTGAAAATTTTAAAATTAAAAAATTAATGAATATAAAACGATTTTTTAAACAACACATGTTTATATGAATTTTTAAGATTAAAAACGCATTTACACCCTATAAAATAACTGGATTTAGGAATTTTGAACAGCACACTTGGCCAAGAAACCATCCACACCCTTCCATAAAATGCAACAATTTATGAATAGCCTGAATGAAGGCTGCCCATCATATGGTGGGTTCAGCTGGACCCTCGCTGGGAAAATACCTCTCTCATCAGCAGTGCATTCTTTACACGTAAACAAATATAACTGACATATAATTTTGTATTCTATTCTAAAACGCTAGGATATATTAAGGTATGTTTAGATTTACTAAATCTTTTCGATCTCAAATGTCAATTCCATTGCTTATATGTCAAATATAATCCACTGGATTTGTGAACAGGATTAACGTGACGTATACGCAATGGAATTGACATTTGAGATCGAGTAAATATAGTAGTCTAAACAAAGCCTTATGGTCTAAACAGCCTTTAGTCCTGATTTAGATTAGGCGAGTTTACTTGCGGCAAGTCTTTGTTTGTAGGAGAGAGGGGCAAGGGAGTAGAAATGAAAAAAAAAATTGCTCGTACCGACAATTTTCTGGCAATTCGTTTTGTGTATTTCGTATTTGTTGACGTTTTATATATATTTAAATGTGAAAAAACAACAAATAGAAACATATTTTGGAAACCGAATTGCCTTGTATAGACGCATGAAGCAAGTTCAAAAGAGAACGACAAGAATTGCCGCAAGTAAACTCGCCTAATCTAAATCAAGACTTAGATGTACTCCCATTTCCACATTTCCCGTATGTTAAAAAAAATAATACGAGCTGTATGATGGATGCTTTATTAATTTCATCATTTCTTAATTAGATATATTTTTTCTTATTTCGAGTGAATTTAGTTGTCTAAACACTCTCTTAAGCTATAATGGCCTCAATCATGGCCTATAAATAAGGTCACCAAGATAGCAATCGAAATCGGAAAACAGCTGTTTTTTCTCAAGTCTAATGTCAAAAATTTGAACTTTGTTTACGTTTTCATAATGGAAGTCAATTCACAATAATGCATTTTGACAGCAAACTTGAGAGGTATAATGGCCCCAATTAAATGCGTTTTCCCCCTGTGTACTTTAATTGCTATCAATTGTTATCAATTCACTGTGCCGTGTAGCATTGCCAATGAATAAGAAGAAGATCCCTTACAACCATAACGAAAAACGTTCCCGCCCCATTAATTAGTTTGCGGAAGAATTTGCGGCGAAACAAGCCAAAACGAGATTTATGAAAAAATTTATAAAAGAAAATTTTTGCATAAACAAATAGAGAAAAAATAAACAAATGTAAAACACAACAAGCCGCTAAGGATAGAAAGCAAAAAAAAAAAAAGAAATACGGAAAAAAACGAAGTGGCTTATGAAATTTTTGCAGATTGTTTGGAAATTACAACAAAACGGCAAGACAAGACGACAAAAAGGGAAGAACAAGCACAATCAACACGCTACATTTTTTTTCGCTAAACGCGTTAGTGCACAGGAGCAAAGAAAATTCCTTAAGAAGAATATAGATTTAATAGAAGAAGAAAGGACTATCCTTACCCCTTCCAAAGACAAAGAATTCAGAAATGGCCCAACAACAAATGCTGGCCGATGAATTGGCCAAGGCAGTGGAATTAATAATGCATCCCCACACGGCCCAACAGGCCCGTATGGAGGCTTATATGGCATGTGAACGCTTCAAAGAAGAAAGCCCTTTGTGTGCCCAAGTCGGTCTCTTCCTGGCCAGCGGCCAATATTCACAAAATGTCAAACATTTCGGTTTGCAGCTAATGGAGTACACAATCAAATTCAAATGGAATTGCATTTCCCAGGAAGAGAAAATCTTCATTAAAGAGCATGCCATGAAATTGCTGTTGCTGGGCGTCGGTCCGGCTGAGGATCGTTCACTGTCCCACCTCAAAGATGCCTTGTCACGTATTATTGTGGAAATGATCAAAAGGGAGTGGCCACAACAGTGGACCACCCTGCTGGCGGAGTTAAGTGATGCCTGCACCAAGGGAGAGGCTCAAACCGAGTTGGTCCTTTTGATATTTCTCCGCTTAGTGGAAGATGTGGCGCTGTTGCAAACCATCGAATCCAATCAGCGGCGTAAGGATATGTACCAGGCCCTGACCAACAATATGAATGACATATTTGAATTTTTCCTACGCCTGGTGGAGTTGCATGTCACCTCGTTTCGTGAAGCTACGGGTCAGGGTAACTATCAGAAGGCCAATGCCCACAGCCGTGTGGTGGAAATGGTATTGCTCACGTTGACCGGATTTGTGGAATGGGTATCGATTAACCACATTACCTGCAACAATGGCAAACTGTTGCAGATCCTTTGCATTTTACTCAATGACAAAGCATTCCAATGCAATGCTGCCGAGTGTCTGTCACAGATCACAAATCGCAAGGGACAGGTTAAGGAGCGCAAACCGCTGTTGATGCTGTTCGGTGAGGAGCCAATGCGTTACATGTATTCCGCGTCACAGATGACACCGAGCGATGAGAGTGTGGCCAGCTTGGAACAGAATCACACGTTCCTAAAGAAATTGGTCCAGCTACTGAGTGGCATGGCTCAACAATTGATTGCCCTGTGGGGCAAGGAAGACGGGGCCATACAACGTCCTGCTCATTTGGAAATATTTTTGGAATGCCTGTTGAGTTTGACACGTCAAGCTTCGTTAAATGTTTCACATGGTTCGGCCTTAATATGGAATGTCCTGTTGAAACATGATGCAATTTCCAAGGATGCAGCGGTATTAGTTTATATCCCCAAGATAATTGAGGTGGTGGGGCCGCGCATTATCAAAACCCCCTATCCCTCGGCCCGGAGTTTGACGGGTGGTGCTAATGCCGGGACGGCCTCCTACATATGTTTGGAATATGATTCCGAGGAGGAGTTTGCCGTTTTCTTCTACCGCTGTCGCACCGACTATTTGGAGATATTCCGCCAGGCCACCTTGGTCCAGCCTTTGGTTACATTTGCCTATTGTGAGCAGTGGCTGAATATGCGTTTGGCCAAGGCGCACAGTGAACGGGGCAATAATGTCCAGTGCAGTGTCCTGGATCCCAACTACTTGGAATGGGAAGCCTTGGTATCGGTGCTTGATGGGGTGCTTAGTCGTATCCTAATGGTGGCTGAAAGACCTTCGGTGCAAGCGGGGCTACGTCTACTGGAGGAGTGCCTCAAGGTGGACACGGACAACCCGTTGACCCTGTCAATATTGCTCTCCTGCATTTCCACGTTGTTTGTGTTCCTCAGCATGTCATCGTGTCAAATAACGCCCAATAATTGTGTGGCCATGACAGGCGTATCCCTACTGCCAAGGGTATTGGAGAAAATCTTTAATGCTTTGGTGTTCCGTGACCCCTTAGATCAAACCCCGGCCAATGTACAGCATCAGCAGCCGCTAACACCCCGAGTGCAGGCCTGTAAAAATCTGCGCCGCCATGCCGCCTCGCTAATTGTAAAATTGGGCCACAAATATCCATTGCTCCTGCTGCCGGTTTTCGAGCAAATCAATACGCACATAAAGACCCTATTCCAACAGCCTCAACATCCCATAAGTAAAATGGATCGTATTACCCTGCAAGAGGCCCTACTGCTGATCTCCAATCATTTTTGTGACTATGAAAGGCAGTATGCCTTTATTGGTGAGGTTATGCGTGACAGTTTGCCACATTGGTCGGCCTTCTCGCATGCCTTTAAATCGGCATTAGATTTCATGCATTTTGTGGGTTTGGATCAGCCACCGGTATATCCCATTGAAAGTGACCCATGTGGACCACATCGCAGTTCGCTCATTGATGCTTTGTATATTGTATTGGGTGTGATCAAGCGGTGCACCTGGCCCGATGATCCCGATAGGGCATCACGTGGTGGTTTTGTGGTGGGTTTTACAGAGTTGGGTGAGTAGAGGAATTTTGAAAAAAAATATTTCTGAAAAATAATTTTAATTTGGTTTATCGATCTTTAGGTAATCCCATCTGCCGCAATCCTGCCTCACCCCATGTCATACCCTTGCTGCCGCACATTTTGTCCCTCCTAAGGGTCTTAAATGAACTCTTCAAGGCCGAGGCTGTGGCTGGCCTCTCAGAGGGTTATCGCAACATACACACCATGCTGGAACATGAAAAGAAGGTGCTGATGGGTGTGTGTGCCATACCAGCCGACCCATTGGATCCCTCGGTCAAGAAACCCCCCACACCCTTTGATAAAATGCAACAATTTATGACGTTGCTGTATGAAGGCTGCTACCATATGATGGGCTCGGCGGGACCCTCGCTGGGCAGAGACCTCTATCAGCTGCAGGGTGTTTCCGATGCTCTCATCAACAGTGCATTCGCCTGCCTAGACGATTTACCCGATTATCGTCTACGTCCAATTATCCGGGTATTTTTCAAACCATTTGTCTACTCCTGTCCCCCGGCCTTTTACGACAACGTCCTATTGCCGATTTTTGCCCACATCTCGCCGATTATGTGTCAACGTTTGACGGCACGATGGGCCTACATTACATCCCTCTACGAATCGGGCCAACTGAACGATGAGGAACAATCCAATGACACCCAAGAGGTATTGGAAGATATGCTCAACCGGTCGCTGACCCGAGAATATTTGGATGTGCTGAAAGTGGCTTTGGTGGGCGGACAGATTGGACCCGAAACCACGGTCAACAATGCCGCCTCAACTGCCACAAATATTGCTTCCGATGTCACAATGGATGCCGAAGAACATTCCATGGATGGTGTGGCCCACACAAGGGCTGCCCAGGCCGCCTTACTTTCCGACATAATCAGTGATTTGGGGGCGAAACTTTTACGCAATCCCTCCACCACCAACTACATACTAATGACCCTGCTCAGTGCTCTCTCCTGGAATGATGGTACATGCAATCTGAAGGCGGTGAATGTGGCCGCGCCGGTTATGCGTTTTCTGGCCGGGGAACAGCTAATGGATGCCAATAAGGCGGTGACAGCATTTACGGCTGTCTTACGTGGTCTACAGATACACGGGCAACATGAAGCCAATCAGGCTGGACTCATAACCCTGGGTGTACAATTTTATGAACTGCTGCGACCCAAGTTCCCTGCCCTCACCGAGGTACTACAAAGTATACCGAATGTGTCGACAGGTGACATACAAAAATTCGATGAAAAAATTGCCGTGGCCCCCGTCAAGGGCAACAAAGTGGATAAGGCCAAAAAGGATTTGTTTAAAAAGTTGACAGCACCCCTGGTGGGGCGTAGCATGAATCAATTGTTCCGTCATGAAATCAAAATTGCCAATTTGCCACCAATGCCCTCACAGAAACTTAAAAATCCCACAGCCGATATTATCGATACAAATCAAAATGCCGGATTGCCGAGTTTATTTCAGACCAGCGGGGGAAATAAGTGACAATGCAAAAACAACAACAACAATAGATAAATTATAAAACAAACAAAAAACCATATATGGATTAAGGAGAGACTATTATATTATGTGAGTTGGAAATATTGGGCAAATTTTTTTTTTTAATTTTTGAAAATTTTCAAATAATTTTTTTCTTTTTTTTCAGATACAACAAAAATAAAATTTAAACTTAAATATATATTATATATGTATATTATGATACTGAATATATATAATTATCACGATAGATTTTGAAGTGTAAAACGAATAATTTATAACACAAATCGAATTGAAAATTGAAAAAAAGATACAAAACACAATTTTATATTCCTCTGAGTAAAACTCCTATGAATATTATTTTCCAAAATACAATAATAACAACAACAAAATTAGAAAAGTATTCCAAAAAAGATAAAAAAATTCAAATCATTATAATGGCGGCAACTGTTCTATATACATATAATCTTATAATTATATTAATTTGTACTATGTATAATGAAGCCAATACACACACACAAACACAAGGTACTATTTACTTGATTTTTTTTTTTGGTTATTAAACAATAATTTTATATAATTTGTTATAAAAGATTCCCTGTTTTTTCTTCAGGCACACAACTATGTGATGAAAAACTATTCCAAATATTAAAAAAATCATGAATGAAAAAAAAATAGAATAAAAAATGGAAACCCATATTGAATTGTTTTTCATCACATAAATGTTTGTCTACTATTTTAATTATTGTTAAAAAATATAATGCCCCCTCATAATTATTTTTCCTTCAAAATTTGTTATTTGTTTTCATATACTGCACACTATACCACCTCTTTACCCTATTTGAATATTTTTAAATGCAAAACTTTTTTTTAAACATTAATTTTATTGAAAAATATGTTGGATGAAAAATTATTTTTTCATCATTAAAAATAATATTTATTATTTAAAATGTTTTTTTTTTAAGAATGTTTTTTTTATTAAAAAAAATATTTTTTTATTAAAAAATATTTTTTTAATAAAAAAATTATTTTTATATATACAATATATGTTGTATAATTATACAACATTAAAAAAAATATTTTTTATTTTTAATAAAAAATAAATATTTTTTATTTTTAATAAAAAATAAATATTTTTTATTTTTAATAAAAAATAAATTTTTTTATTTTTAAAAAAATAAATATTTTTTATTTTTAATAAAAAATAAATATTTTTTATTTTTAATAAAAAATAAATATTTTTTATTTTTAATAAAAAATAAATATTTATTATTTTTAATAAAAAAATATTTTTTAATAAAAAATAAGTTTTTTAGTAAAAAAAATATTAAAAAAAATTAATAAAAAAATATTAGTTTTAAAAGAAAAAAAAAACTTTTTAAATAATAAATAGTTCGTTTTATTAAAAAAATATTTTTTATTAAAAAAACAATCATTTTTATAATTTTTTTTTTTTAATTAAAAAAATTATTTAATTGATTTTTAATACAAATATTTGTGTAAAAATTTGAATTTTTATAAAAGAAAATTAGACGAAAACTTTTTAAAAATGTAAAAATTTCTTATTTGAAACGTTTTTTTATAAAAAAAAAATATTTTTTTTTATTAAATAATACCTTACCTTTTTTATACCTTTTAAAAAAAATATATTTTTTTCTTAAACAATTTTTTTGAGTAAATATTATTACTGAAAATTTTGTCATATTTATTTAAACCCCCATTTTCCCTTTAAGATTTTATTCCAAAAAAATTTGTTCATTGATTTTGAATTTCTGTTTTGTTCTGAAATTTCTGTTGAAAAGAAATTAATTTCATTTTAAATATAATTATTGATTTGCAAAACAAACAAACAAAATTACGCATAGAATTTTTAATTAATTAACAACAAAAGAAAAAACAATTTTATATTTAAATTGAATATTTAATTTATAATGTATGTATGGTAATGATTAAGAAATATTTTTTATTAACTATGAAATAAGAAATTTATTATATTATAATTATAAAAAAAAAAAAAAAAAAAAAAAAAAAAAAAACACCGAACTTATTATGAAATATGTCTTAAAAAATAAAAAAAAATTTAGAATAATGGATTTTTTTTTTAAACATTTATTTCTTAATTTTTTATTAATTTATTTGAAAAAAATTGTAGATTTTTTCAGAAATTTTTTATAAAAAAATTGGAAAAAATTTTCTATTTTTTCCAATATTTTTTATAAAAAAAAAATTTAAAAAATTTTTGGATTTTTTAAAAAATTTTTATATTTTTTTATGAAAAAATTTTTTTATGAAAAAAAAATTCAGATTTTTTCAAAAAATTTTTTTTTTTAAAATTTTTTATAAAAAAATGAAAATAAATTTGTTTTTAATAGCCAGGTTTATATTTCAAAATCTTAATTTTTATTAACTTTATTATGAAAAAAACATTTTTTCCAATTTTTTTATAAAAAAATGGAAAAAAATTTCGAATTTTTCCAAATTTTTTTATAAAAAAATTTAAAAAAATGTTTCGATTTTTTCAAAATTTTTTTTAAAATTATTTTTTTTATGAAAAAAAAAATTGTCGGTTTTATCCAAAAATTTTTTTCAACAGTATATTTTTAGGAACATTTTCGATTTTTTCCAAAATTTTTTTATAAAAAAATGAACATATTTATAAATATTTTTTTTATGGAAAAAATTTTCGATTTTTTTCCAAAATATTTTTTTTAACTGTAGATTTTTAGGAAGTAAATTTTTTTCGAATGAAAATAAATTTTTTTCCAAAAAGCCAAAAAATATTGGACTTCCTTCCCTTTCCCTTTTCCATTCCACACATTTAAAAATAAAAACAACATTCACATACATTCTCATATATGTATAGATTTTTACAAATACACAATAGTTTATTTATTTCTTTTTTTTCATTTCAAAAATCATAAAGCAATATAGGATTGGATTTTGTTTTACAAAATAAAAAAAATTGTAAGGCCGCATACTTAAAATTAAAAAAAAAAAATAATTATAATAATTTCCAAAAATTTTTCTTATATATCAAATATATATGTAAAGTTTTTTAAGTACATAATTTTCTTATAGACAAAAAATAATCATAATTTTGAGCAATAAACTTAATTGCTATGGTGGTAAAATACTAAAACAAAAGGGCGGGAAAAGTCGAGGGGTGGGGTGGGGAGGTGTGGTGTTTAGTTGCATGTTAGAGAATATAAACAAATGATGAGTGGGGGAACAACATGATGGATGAGGGGGTGGTGAACATGATGAGTATTTTTTGACTGATTTTATATAAATGTAGGTGTATGTATGAATGAATGTTGGAATTAAGGAAGATCGATTGAATTTATAAAAATGAAATAAAATTATAATTTACAAAAAAATAATAATAATAAAAAAAGGTGGGTGCAATAGTAAGAAAAACATTTTCTTCTGTGAAAATTAGAAATTTTTTTGAAAATATTTTCTAAAATTTTAACAAAAAAATATTAATTTTTAAAAATAATATTTATTTTTTTTTTAATTAAAAAAATATATTTTCATTAATTGTTATAAAAATACATTTTTCTTTTTAGAAAAAAAAATTAGAAATTAAAAAAAAAATTATATTTTTAAAAATATAAAAAAAATATTTATTTCTTATTTTTAAAAATTAAAAAAAAAAAAAAAAATTGAATTAAAACAAAAAAAAATTAATAAAAATTTTTGTTTCCTTATAAAAAATTTATTTAAAAAAAAATGAAATTTAAAAAAAAATATTTTTTTTAAAAAAAAAACATATATATTTTTTTTTAATAATAAAAAACATATATATATTTTTTAAAAATAAAAAAAACATATTTTTTTAAATATAAATATTTTAATAAAGTGAATATTTTATATATTTATATTTATAATATATTTTATTTTAAAATTAAATATTTTTGAGGTAGCCCCCATTTATGTACTCATTGGGTTGCAAATCGTCCTACCAAAAATGATTAATATTGGTCCCCTTTTTAGGGTAGCTACCATATAACGGAACCTTCCGAATTTCGGGTTTTTGGGGATTTTGGTCACTTTATTTTCAACCGAATTAGCTTTAATTTCATATTTAAGGTTCCCATTGTGTTGCAAATCGTCCTACCAAAAATGATTATTTATAAAATATAATTTTTTCTTTAAAAAATATTTTTTTTTAATTAAAAAAATATGTTTTTAATTAAAATATATATTTTTTTAAATTGAAAATAATACATATTTTTTAAATTAAAATAGTATTTTTTTAATATTCTTTTTTAATCAAAAAATTTTTCTTATTTTTTTATATTAAATTATATTATTAAAATAAAAATATTTTTTAATTAATTTTAATTAAAAAATTAATTTTTTTTTTAATTTAAAAAAATTATTTTTTATAGCAATATCAATTATTTATAAAATATAATTTTTTTTCTTTAAAAAATATTTTTTTTAATTAACAAAATATATTTTTAATTTAAAAATATTTTTTTTTCAATTAAAAAAATATTTTTTTAAATAAAAAAATATTTTTTTAAATAAAAAATATTTTTTTTATTAAAAAAATATATTTTTAATTTAAAAATATTTTTTTTCAATTAAAAAAATATTTTTTTAAATAAAAAAATATTTTTTAACTAAAAAATATATTTTTAATAAAAAAAATTTATTAAAAAAATATTTTTTTGTAACTAAAAAAATATTTTTAGTTAAAAAAGTATTTTTTTCTTAATTTTTTTTTTAATTTAAAATTCTTATTTTTTATAACAATATTAATTATTTATAAAATATAATTTTTTTCAAAAATATTTTTTATTTAAAAAATATATATTTTTAATATATATATATATATATATATATTAAAAATAATATATAAAAAAGTATTTTTTAATTAAAAAATATTTTTTTAGTTAAAAAAAATAAATAATTTTTGATTAAAAAATAATATTAAAAAAATACTTTTTAATATATAATTATTTATAAAATATAATTTTTTTCTTCAAAAAATATTTTTTTAATTAAAAAAAACACAGATTTTTAATTAAAATATATATTTTTTAAATTAAAATATATAATATATTTTTTTAATATTATTTTTTAATTAAAAAATATTTTTTTAATTTATTTAATTAAAAAATATTTTTTAATTTATTTAATTAAAAAATATTTTTTTATTTTTTTTAATTAAAAAATATTTTTTAATTTATTTAATTAAAAAATATTTTTTTTATTTTTTTTTTAATTAAAAAATATTTTTTTATTTTTTTTTTAATTAAAAAATATTTTTATATTTTTTTTATCAAAAAATATTTTTTTATTTTTTGTTTCATTAAACTATTTTTTTTTTATTTTTTTTAAATTAAAAATAATTTTATTTATTTGTTTTTAATTTTATTAAAAAGTACTTTTTATGGAAGAACATTAATAATGATTTAAAAATTCCTTTTAATGAAGAAAATGTTTTTCAAAAAACAAAAAAAAAAAAAAAAAAAAAAAATGAAAATAATTATAATAAAATCACAATAGTTTTTTTTTGTATAGAAAAGTGTGTGTGTGGGTGTGAGTTTCCATACATGTATTAGTTAGTTTGGGATAAATGGAAAGGTGATATTAATAATTAAATTTAAAATTTACAACTAGGCTTATTTCATAACGACAAAATACGATTTTTTTTATAATTTATTTTGATCTCTCCAAAAAAAAAAACTTAAAAATTAAGAATACTTTTTGTAGCTACAACTGTTGGGATTTTTTTTTATAAAAAAATATTTCGAATACCAACAATATAAATTTTGTTGGGTATTGTGACAAAAGAATATTTTGTTTCGAAAAAGAAAAAATCCCTTAAGGGAGTCGCGATTATATTAAAACTAATTCTTTATATTAAAACTAATTCTGTAGTGGACGTTTTGTTTTTTCTTCTTTTTTTTTGGATTAAATGGTTGCGGTATTGGAGATTACATTTCATAATAAATAGCATCAAATATTTGTTTGTTTTTTTGTAGGAAAAATATATTCGCTTAGGAAGCCAGCTCTCTTTTTGGAAATAGTTCCTCTTTTGTTTCCACAAAAAAAAATCTTTTTTTTTTTAATTTAACTTAAAATTATTGTTTTGTTTTTAAACACTTAAAGTATATATATAGTATTTTCAGTTCTGCTTAAATGTAACAACAAAGTGATTTAATAATTTCTCTTTTTTATTGTTGCTGCTGTTGTTGACCAAATATATTCAGATCTTGTTGGGTGACATAACCTGAAATTAGGCCGCCACCCCCCGCCGCCATCTGGGAGTTGGCATTTGTGGTTTTGGAACTTTCATTTGTGAGTTGATTAGCTGAGGCGGGGTTGGTGGGTATTTCCACTTGCATCGAAGGATTTGTTAGTTGTTGTAATTTAGCCAAATCTTCCAAGGTGGTATAACCACCACCAGCCGCACCTCCTCCAACACCTCCCACAAATTGTGTTTCATTGCCATTATTCGGGTTTGTTGTTGTTGCTGTTGTTTGATTGTTGTTAAAGAATTTGTGTAAATCTTGGGCCATAACATAACCGGAAGATAAGGGTGCAGGAGCTACTGCTGCTGATGTGGGGGGTTGTAAGGCCTGTAAACTTTGCACTGAAATATAGCCACCACCACCTCCACCCCCAACATTTGTTGTCATGATATTTTGCTCATCAAATGCCTGCCATGGCTGTATTAGAGAATGTTTTATATAACCACTATCATTGTTTAGGGGAGTATGTTCCACCACCTTGGAGTGGTGTGGTGGCATAGATGATGACTCCGATTCATCGCTTGTACTTTCCACCAAAGAATCCACTGAGGATGATATGTTCTTTTCCTTATCCATTATCTCACAATTATCCGCCATATTATCATTACCCGTAGAACTGCCACCACAAAGGCCTCTTTCACCACCCGCTCCCAAATACCCCGAATCATTACCCAACGAGGCCAACAAATGATGATGTTCATTACGGAAATTATATTCATGCATGCGTCCAGCACTTAGCCACTCGGCTTCTTTACTTGCCAAATCCAAAGATTTTTCCACATGTGTAGCAGGAACTCCAGCCGCCGACGTAAATCCCCCACCTGTATTCTCTTTGGTGAAATAACTTTCCAGTCCAGCTGGTAAAGTACACTGAATATTAGCCATTTTATTGTATTTCTTACGGGCCATATACAAAGCGGCCATAACACCCAATGACATGGCAATCACCACCAATGCTATGGTGGTAATTTTACTCAATGCACTTGCCGAACATGAATTTGTTTCCAATATCTGCCAGGGTGATTTATACAAATGATACACGGATCTATTAAAATAACGTTGAATTTCAAAGGCCGCCCTTGTACCATCAGCTATGGCCGCACCACAAGATAAATCTTCATTATCATTGCTAAAGATATCGTTGATATCATTGCTATAACTTTCCGCGAATTCCAAAAGAATACCGGAGGGCACCTCATGTGTCAAGAGGGCAGCATTCACCGCTCGTACCTCAACCACGGTTTTATATTCGGCACCAATACATTCGGGTTCTTGAAATGCGCACGATGTCTCCCCACCACCCATTATGATACTTTTTTTACGTCGTATCACATCATTGTTACGCTTCTGGGTAACCATAACTTCGTAGAATTCCAAACGGCCATTGGGTTTCAAGGGTTTACTCCACTGGATAATGCTGGAATTTTTTGCTGTTGCTGCCTGGCCGGGTGGTGTGGGGGCTGTGGAAAAGAAAATGAAAAAAAATTAATTTTTTAGGAAAAAAAATAAATTTAAAAAATTAAAAAAATATTTTTTTATACAAATTATTTAAAAAAATATTTATAATAAATGTATTAACAAATTTATTTATAATAAAAAATAATATTTTTTTTATAAAAAACTAATTCTATAATTTTTTTTTACAAAAAAATATTTTTTTTTTATAAAAAAAAATAATTTTTTAATTTTTTTATAAATATCTTCAATCCAGCCTGGCTGGATTAAGGTTTCCATAGGAAATCTTCAATTCAGCCTGGCTGAATTAAGGTTACCATAGGAAATCTTCAATTCAGCCTGGCTAAATTAAGGTTACCATAGGAAATCTTCAATTCAGCCTGGCTGAATTAAGGTTACCATAGGAAATGTTTAATTCAGCCTGGCTGAATTATGATTTCTATAGGAATCTTCAATTCAGCCTGGCTGAATTAAGGTTTCCATAGGAAATCTTCAATTCATTAAGGAAATTTTCAATTTTTAATTTTTTACAATATTTTTTTTATAAAAAAATTACTTAAAAATAATATTTCTTATAAAAAATAATATTAAAAAAAATTATTTAAAATATTTAAAAATAATATGTTTTATAAAAAATAATATTTTTTATGAAAAATATTTTTTAACAAAAAAATTAAAAATATTTAAAATTGATATTTTCTATAAAAAAAAATAATATATTTTTTATCAAAAATATATAATTAGCCTTTTTTTTTATAAAAAAAATAAAAATAATATTCTTTATAAAAAATTATTTACAAAAAAAATTAATAAAATTATTATTTACAAAAAATTATTTTTTAATTTTATAAACCAATATTTAAAAATATTATTTAAATAAAAAATATTTTTTTTTTGTAAAATTTTTAAAAATAATTTTTTTTAATAAATTTATTAAAAAAAAAATTGAAAAAAAAAATCCCAAAATAATTTTCATTCATAAATCCCCCTTCAACTCACCTCCAATGGCCGTTGTAAAATGTACATCATTACTGGTATCGGATATTTCCACGGTTTGTGCCAACACATACACCTTATACGAGGTAAATGTTTCCAAATCCGTCAATGGATACTCCAAAGTACTGCCATTCACCTCAAAACGATCATTATTCAACATAATTATATATTTTCGTATATGGCCATTTTTATGGCTCGGTTCCATCCATTTAATCCATGCACTATCCTTGGTAACATTATAAACTTTAAGGTGTCTGGGTGGTGATGGTGCACCCTCAAGGGTACGCATCAATTGTGGATCACTGGGTTTACCCACTTTATTACGTGAAAACATATACATCGATACTTTGTACATTGTGAAGGGTTTCAAATCCTCAATATTATAGACTTTATCCTTCTTTGCCAATGTCACCGTGTGGGGGTGATCTAAACATGTGGCATTGTCGGCGGGTACATTATCGGCCACCTCACAATAGGTTAAATTAAAACCTAATAATATCGATGTACAAACACGTTCAACACTCCATTGTACCTTAATACTATTACTCATTGAGGTTAGTTCAGGATCAGCTTTCACCAAATCACTATTTACATCCATGGTACAGGCTGTCCAGTGGAGGCCGGTATTGAAGGTATCATAATTGGCGGAAACTGCCAAATTCAGGGTGTGTTCCTCATGGGGATTTTGTTTTTCGGTGGTGAAATTTAATTGCGTTGCAGGGACTTCCTGGAAGTGCATTGATTCCTAGGGGGAGGGAAAAAGGAAATTATTAGTAAAAATAAATAGTTTAAAATTCTCAATATTCCTACTCACTTTACATTCATTGGGCAGTGCCCTTTTCGGGTAACACCAAAACACAGTATAGCTTTTAAGACCCACTGCCCTTGGTGGCTTGGACCAGGTCAGTGTATATGTACGATTATTGGCATGATAGACATTATTAATATCTCGTGGTGTATGATGCCGAGCATTGGTTTTATCAAAGGGATAGATAATTAGGCGACTTGTTTCCAGAGAATCTCCCATATGATTACGGCTACCAATATCAAATTCATAACGTGAGGTTTTGCGCCATGGAAATACTGCGAGATTGTGTTCCATTGTAATGGGCCTCAAATCACTGTAAAGAAATATTTATAAAGAGAAAAAATAATTGGAAATTAGAAAAAGAAAGAAAAAAAAAATAATTAAAATATATAACAAGAGATAAAAAATTAAAATTTTTTTTTTATTAAAAAAAATATTTTTATCAATATTGACTTTTTTTAAATTTTATGAATTATATTATAACTTATATATATCATGTTTTATAAAAATTAAAATTTTTTTTTTAAAATATTTTTTTTAAAAAAAAATATTTTTTAATTTTTTTAGAATAAATTATTTTTAAAGTTTTTATTACATTTTTTTTATACCAATAGTTTTAGTTTTTAACAATAATAGATATGTATGTATATTTTTTTATTTTTTTAGATTTTTTTCAAATTTAATTTTTTTTTTAAATATAAAATTTATGTATAAATTAATTTTTTTGTTTTTTTAAAAAAAAATGAAAAAATTAAATATAAAATTTAAAAAAAAAACTTTTTTAAAAATTAAAATTTTAAAATTTTGTTATACTTTTAAAGAAAAATAATAACTTATTTTCTTATAGAAAATTAGCTGAATGACTTACTTCCATATAGAAAATTTGCTGAATAGCTTAGTTTCATTTAAAAATTAAGCTGAATAGCTCATTTTCTTAAAGAAAATTATCTATTAATAAAATTATTTCTTATAAAAACTTTGCTGAATGATTTTTATGATTTATACAAATTTTCTTTTATGTTTTATACAATAAATAATAACTTATTTTCATATAGAAAATTAGCTGAATAGCTCATATTATTAAAGAAATTTAGCTGAATAACTTATTTTTTATAGAAAATTAGCTGAATGACTTACTTTCATATATAAAAGTAAGCTGAATAGCCTAGTTTCATATAAAAAAATAAGCTGAATAGCTCATTTTCTTATAGAATATTATCTATTAAAAAATTATTTCTTATAAAAACTTTGCTGAGTGGCTTATTTTCTTATAAAAAATTAGCTGAATGGTATATTTTCATACAAAAAATTAGCTGAGTAGTTTATTTTCTTATATAAAATAAGCTGTATAGCTTATTTTCATTTTGAAACTAGCTGAATATCTATTTTTGTATAAAAAAAAATTAGCTGAATAGGTAATTTTTTATGGAAGAATAGTTATTAAATATCAATTTTTTCAATTATAGGGATGAATTATTTTTCTGCTATATAAAAATTTAGCTGAATAGGGGTTCTTCTCAAAGACCATGCTTTATTTGCAGTTAATGTGGCGCTGAATTTTTGTTTTATTTATTTTTTCTTCTCCTCGGGAAATTCCCAAAACCCAGTAACAGTTCATTTTTATCGAATTTAATTGCGGTTTTTACATTTTTACAATATATATATATATATATATATATATTAAAACTGTTTTCCTTTTCTAAAATTTTTTTTAAAATTTCATTATATTTTCTTTTCATTTTCATTATATATTTTTTAATTTTACATTATATATATTTTTTTAATTTTTATGATAATTTTATTTTTTAATTTCAAAAATTATTTTTTTTTTGAAAAATATATTGAAATTGTTACAATAATTTTTTTTTCAATTTTCCAAAAAAAAAAAAAAAAATAAATAAATAATAATAAAAATATATTAATTTTTTTATCAATAATTTTTTTTTAATTTTTAAGATTTTTTTATTTTTAATTTTTACAACAAAATATATATTTTTTTAGTTTTTACAAAAAAAATATATATATATATATATATTTAAATTTTAAAGAGAGAATTTTTTTTAATTTTTAACGATAAAAAATTTTATTTAAATTTCAAAAATTAATTATATTTTTTTCAAATTTATTATTAAATTTTTTTCAAAAAAAAAGAAAAATAATAATAAAAATATATTTTGGTTTTTATCAATAATATATATATATATATTTTTTTTAATTTACAAGATTTTTTTTATTATTTTTTTATTTAAATTTTTTTACAAATATATATATATATATATATTTTCACAAAGATGTATTTATTTTTTTTTTTTTTACGATAAATATATATATATATATATATATTTTTTATTTTTTTAATTTTTTAAAAATATATTGAAATTGTTACCAATATATATATATATAACCGCAAAAATAAATACATATTTCTCAATTTTTTTAATTTTAATATATTTTTTAATTTTAACAGCAAAATATATATTTTTTAAATTTTTAAGAATTTATTTTTTTTATTATTTTTTTTTTTTATTTTTTTTTTTTTTTACAAAAATTTTTTATTTTTTTTCAAAAATTATTTATATATTTTTTTCAAATTTATTAAATTGTTAATTTATTTTTTTAATATTCAAAAAAAAATAAATATATATATATATATATATATATATTTTTAAGATTTTTTTTTATTTTTTTTAAATATATATATATGTATATATATATGTTACCAATATTTTTGTTAACCACAAAAATAAATACATATTTCTCAAAAATTTTTTTTTTAATTTTAACAGCAAAATATATATTTTTTAAATTTTTAAGAATATATATTTTTTTAATTTTTAATTTTTTTTTAATTTGTAACAACTTTTTTTTAAATTTTCAAAATATTTTTTTATTTTTAAAATTTTTTATATTAATTTTCAAAAAAGAAAATATATGAATTTGAAATTTTTCAATATTTTCAAAAAAATAAAATAAAATTATTTTTTTTAAATTGTATCAATAACTTTTTTCATAAAAAATAACATTTAAATTGCTCCAATACGTCAAATTTATTTTTCAAATAATTATTAAAAAAAAAATAAAAACAAAATCGTTACTTACATAAAATTTCCATCCCGTCGTATCGAACGTACCACATACGTAAAATTATCTCCATTATATTCAAACGTCGGCAACTCCTCCCAATACACCGTGACCATTGTCTCAGCTGAATTAATATAAAAACTACCCGGATCCATGCGTGGCGGCCTCTGTGGCCTTTTTGCAGCCGTACGAAATGGCAATACAAATTGATCACTCCATTGCGCTTTGGGATGTTTAACACGCACCCGCAACTTTAAATCATAATGCCAATAGGCATAGGGTAAATTTGTTACACGTAACTTCATTTCATTATGATCGCGATATGGTGCATCACCACGTATTGTTGTGGCATTTTCCGGTTCAATCAACACCTCCCATTGTAGACCTTTATTGCGATATTTTTCCCATTTTACCATTTGCCAGGTTAGACGTATACCATCAACGGAGATATTGTCGATGCGTATATTTTCACCCGGCCTTGAGGGTATCATTACTTCGAAGTTGTTTATGGCAAAATATTGAGTTAGGGGCCGATCGCCCTCCCTGACCAAGGCATTTTTTGATTCGATAATAAAATGATAGAATTCCTGATTGCGATCTTTCAGTGAGATATTGCACACGACCAGACTGCGATCATCGTAGTTACAATCGGGTTGGAATATGTAATTCGGCATGTCATTGTAAAAGGAGACATTGTAGGTGGTCAGTATGGGATTGGGTGGTTTGGTGAAATTACAAATCATATGATCGAAATCATAACTGCTGCAGCTGAAATTTGTCACCGCCTTTGGGGCAGTGCCCACAAACACTTTGGTCTCCATGATGGCATCAGGGCCACACTTGCAACGATATTCCGTTTGCTGTTCACTGGCATTGCGTACCATATAGACTATGCTTGAGCTATTGAGGATTAGAATATTCTCCCGCGGCAGCACCTCATTGGTACGGCCATTGACGAAATGTAAACTGCTGGAGTTTTTGCCCGGAAATGCCTTGGGATTCATGTAACAGGTGATATTAAAGGAATCCCCAATGGCGGCTTCAATGGTTACCGGCTGAGTTTCACCAGGATGGGAATAGAACATACGATATTCCCTTTTACCAGCGCGACACAATGCCAACGATGATAACACGAACATTAGCCACACAATGATATTTCTTCTGCTATTGATCAGATTAGTCATGGTTTGTTTTTGTTTTGCTCACTTCACATAAAAAAATGTTTTGTTTTTTAGATTTTCTTTTTTTCAAAAAAAAAATTACATCTATCCTTTAGCCCTTTACCATCAGCACTTGGTTTGGTAATGTCCAACCCAAAAACCAGTTCACATACACCACTCTGGTGTGTAATTTCGAATTGTTATTCCTAGAAATCCGTTTAATTTTAGTGTGTGTTTTTCTTGGAATTTGAATTTTCTTCACTTGATAATTTTGCAAATTTCACCCGCAAAACCTTAACGATTTTTCATTTTCTTGTTGAAATTTGATTCGGCATGCATTATTCTGTACATTTTATCAGGATTTCATTAAACTTTTTACAGATTTCCCCAATTTATTGGGCACTTAAATTTTCAAAATTCTTGGAAATTTGTTTTGCTTTGTGTAGTTTATTTGTTGTTGTTGTTGGCTGGCTGTTGGTGTGTGTTGTTGTTGCTGTATGGCGTGTGTTTAGTCGTTGTTTTATCCGTACTCTGTGTGTTGACCGTCACACTCTCTCGATGTCAATGTTTGGTTTGCAGCAGCATGACAGGTACTGTGCACACAAAAACAAATGTGAATGAGAGTGAATGGCATTCACGGGTAAATGTTGACATATGTACAATGCTTCTTTTGAGGGATAGCCAGTCACTTTGAATTGATAGCTTTCAGACGTAGTGATTTAGGGATGCATAGATTGATTTCTTTCAACATTTTATTATAAAAAAATAAACAAATACAAATAGTTTTTATCACCAGTACAACATGATGTCGTAAATAATAAGGTCATGGACCAATAATAAGGTCGTCCGATAAGGCCATATGATTTCATCCGAGCTGTCAAATTGCTTTCAATTTTGACTTAATCGTATGAAAACATAAGCATCAAATTAGACAACTTGGGAGATTTTTAACCAAATTTACCGATAATATTCGTCTCTTACACGGTCTGTTAATATTTCTCATGGTTGGCAACATTGCATGTCGAATTCATGGCACAATAAAAATAATAGGTATTTGCTATTAGCGCAGCTGATGACTTGATTAACTGTCAAAGTGTGTAATTTCTACATGTATTCGATGTGCAATGTTGCCAACCATGTGTAATATTATAAGTAAAAATTTGACAGATGGTCGAAACAAATAACAAAGGTTTTTGTTTTGATACATCACCTTATCATTGCATCATGGTAGAAACCAAGGCCTATATAATATAATAGATCATCCAGTAAGGCCAGCTGATATCTAAGTTATTTTTTTTTTTTGTCAAAAACGTGGTACAATAAACATGTAGCCCATTTATCGCACCTAATGACTCGATTAATTGTCAAATTCTACTTGAATTCGATGTGTAATGTTGCCAACCATGTAAAATACTGTTACATTCAAGCCTAATGCGGCGCTATGGTTGGGCCATGCTAGCTCAGTTTGGGAACATTTGTTTATCAAATCTCCACCCTTGCCACTATCAACCCTAGGGAATGCACAAATTGAAAACAAACAACACAAAAAACCATAAACACCATACATCCATGGCAAAGGATCATGATATTAACGTTCCCCCACTATTCCCGCCCTTCCTTGACACTTTTGTCCAAATTTTAAACTGATTATTTAAAGAGCCCCAAAAGCCACACTTATCTCATTATAACATACACATAATTTCCTCTCTCACAAACAGGACTTAACACAACATATTTTCAAACATAAAAACATATAAAAATTTATTGACATAGTCATTTTCTCTTAAACGGCATTTACATTAGAACTTTTTATCGTGTTAACCTACTCTATGAGGATTTATTTGGCATGTATACAATGGAATTGACAATTGAAACCCACTGGGTTAACGAAATCCGGTTAAATGTAAACGTACTATTAACCTAACATATCAAGTTTGGGGGTATTAATACCCGCCAAATTTATCTTCGGTGAGCCAATACTCATATTACCTTTTTTACTACTAGGTCAATAATTAACACTTAAATTCTTCTGCCTAAAAGAGCTCTCATAGTAGAACAAATGGGACATTTTCATCTTCCGTCAACACAAAACCCAAAATCTAGTTGATACCAGAGGTAATCCTACAGTCACGTATGCAATATTTAACTAACTCCGGACAATACAATTGGTCTGTTGCCGTACTGCAAGATTCTACTCGATTTTACTATTTTCTTCGATATCATAAAGGAAAATTCCTTATCGTAGTAAAAAGTGGTAGATTCTTGCAGTACGAGAACAGACCAAATGTAACTTAAATATTAAACACAAATTTTTGGATTCATAAAAATTGGTCAATCCATATATCAATTCTTTAATAATAATTACTTCTTAGTTTTAATCTATAAATATTAATTTTTTTCTTTTTTTTGAGGTTACACAAAGGCTTATTGGATTCATATTTAAATGACGTACAGACGCATTCATCACCAGGCAAGGAACGGTAAGGATTTTTCTAACCTGTTACCTGGAATTTTCTTGTTTCATTTCAATATTTTTTTTTTGTTAAATTTTTCGTTTCGGCACAACTCTTCACGAATGACAGGATTAGCTTCCAAGGCCTCAAAAGTATATGTGCAACACATTGACATCAACACAAGATAATTGCCTGCAACACACCGGCAAAAACCATTAGGAAAATTGGCCTCCTGTACAGAGCTCAGTGCTCGCTTGGCCAAATAATTTGTTTCTATGTTCTCCGCACAAAAACAATTATAAAATAAAGTGGATATTATATTGCCAATATAAATTTAATATTTTTTCGTATTGAGATTATTGTGTGCGCTTCACAAGGACAGACTATGATCTTCTCTTTAATGTACTCTTCAAAAGGATTCACTATCTGATTTCCTTTTTTAACCCTTTCAGTGTCAAAAAACATTTTGGTCGGAATAAAAATCTAAAATTTTGTATTTAAGATCATATAAAGGCATAGAGTTTAGAAAAAAAATTATTTTAACCCTCGGACAGTTTTGTATGCCTTTCAGCAAAAACAAAAACATCAATTGTAACGGTACATAGGATAACCGAATCGCAAAGAAAAAGAGTAATTTTAAATATCGAATATATTCGACAAAAACACTGAAAGGGTTAACATACTCTTCACAAGGATTGCTTTTCTGATCCTCCTCGATTTTCCTTCTTCACTTCCTTATATAGGCTCGAAAAAACCCAGCCAAATCTTTTTCCATCTTTTTTCCTAAGTTTCCCACAATTTTCTTATATTTATTTAATTCCCTTTAATCAGCTGTTCTACTAAACCAGACAATAGCGACAGGGTTGTATTTGACTCACGTCAATCTTTCGGAGTCACTATTTTCAGATCAACCCTGGCCTTGGCATCACTTTTTTAATTTTGTTCATTGGTCGCCCTGCATATCCGATTCTTTTCCTTTTCGGCATTCGGAATAAAATTTTAAGTGGCCGGTCTTTCTAAATTTTTATTAATTTAAAAATGTATTTTAAGACGCGCACAACAGGTTATGATTTCTTTTAAAATTCCGTTAGGGAATGCCATATTTGCTTAGTCCTTAACAAAATTATTACTTCCAGACGAACGGGGTAAAAAATCATTTTTATAATTTTAAATATATATTTCAATTTAATATGAATTTATTTGATAACACATACATTTTGATTTGATAGGACAAGCCGTCTTGAGAAAAAAGATAAAAGATTAAAAGAATTAACTCCCTATATAATTATTGATACTCCTTTAAGTTTAGGCTACGAACTCCACTCAATCTCAAATGTGAATACATTTGAAAAAAGATGAAAAAAATGAAATTTTCAAAAAATAATTATAGTGAATATTAAACGATTTTAAAATAGCACATACTTATATGCATGTTTGGGTTTCCAACGGCGTAGAATAAGAAAAGTTTACGTATACGTAAACATCAGCTGATTGACTTTATATCACGTTAATACCAGACTAAACAGCTAGTATTGGGTACCTCGTTTAAGAAATTAAGTCGATAAACCCACCTGTATACGCCATGACATTTGACATTTGAGTTCAATTTCGTAAATCTAGACCATGGCACAATGAATAGGTAGTCCATTTAGCGCAGCTGATGTCTTAATTAACTGTCAAAGTGGGTAGTTTCTGCTTGAATTCGATGTGCAGTGTTGCCAACCATTTGAAATATATGGAAAATTTTGACAGATAATCGAGACAACAACAAAGGTTTTTGTTTTGATACATCACCTTATTATTGCATCATGATCTAGACGTAAGTTTATAATTTGACATTTAACAATGCCAAGCTCGTATCTTATAATAGGTCACATGATGGGAATTTAATTATTAGATTATATAAAAAATCCTTATTTACGTCTGGTATTAACGATAACTTATACTGAAAATACTAGCATGTACACGTAAACAAATATCAGCTGATTGACTTTATATCATGTTAATACCAGACAAAACAGCTGGGATTTAGTACATCGCTTTAAAAATCACATCTATTTAGAAGGCATAGTCTAAACGTGCCTGGATACACTATTAAACGGCATATACATTAAAACTTTTTACCGGGTTAACCTACTTTATGAGGATTTATTTGACATATATGCAAAGGAATTGACAATTGAAACCCATTGGGTTAACGAAATCCGGTTAAATGTAAACGTACTATTAAATGTATTTTCAATAAAAAGGGGGCCCAAACTTAACATTCATTCCTGTTCAATATTACACCACCGCAATCAACCAATCTTTGCCAATATTAATGGCCATCGATTTATTTTCCCTTTTATCTTGAAACCATATCAAGTAAAATGTTCGCTGGTCAGGTTAGCAGTACCTAACGAGAAAACGTAACCAATACCAGTCATTTTTCAATTCTAAAGCGCAATGGACGTCACGCAGAAATATGAAAATTCCGTATATATAAAATCAATAAAAATATATTTATGGATATTTTCGATTTTTGGTCAAACGTTGCCACCAATTTTAATCGATAAGAAGCAAAGGAATATT